CTCTATCTTTCCTAATTTTTACCAGGGCTAATCCAACATGATAAGGAAATGCAATTTTGCTTCCTATGTGGAATTGTATATATAACAGTCAGATTTGGGACACATATGAGATTACTTTCACACTAGTATAAGAAGGTCATCTATAGTATTCCCACTGAGAAAAATGCATACAGTACCACTCCTACCACACACATTTTCACACATTATTTCAGGCATTTATAAAATGGTTGGGAACTTGAAGCCCACCCAAAACTGAGCACCACTCATTTTTAAGTTAATGAATGCCCTTTTAGTGACCTGAAATATATGTCTCTATTGTAAAATAGCAGATGTATCAGAAAAAGGAGATATCTATATCTACCTATCTATAAAATTTACATTATGGTTTTCTACTTCATGTTATACAAAAAGAACCAAACAGATGTTCAGTTTTGTTATTCTACCCAACATAACCTCTTTCTTAGAGACCAAATAAAATGCATTATGGTAAGAGTTTGCTGCAGTCAATTTAACAAATGCAAAACAAACAGAAAACCTAATGTGGAAGCTTTTCAGCCCATCACAAAAGTGCTGGTAACAGACAGTGAATAACCTGCTAATTCTATTCAATTCATTCACATTAGATATATGTTTATATTTAACACAAAACCTGCAGTTTCTATTAGAGAATTGTAAAGTCTGTTCTTTGGTTTCTTTAGATCACTGTAAAAAAAATACAGAATTATGTCATTATAATTTAAGAAAAAGACCAAAGTCTGTTTTTCATATTAGAGTTTCAAAAGCAAGAACTGTAGGGCTCTCAGCTTTTTGATTTTTTTGTTTCAAAGGGTTTCATGCATCAGAATAGTGCTTTGCTAACTTATGCCAGAAGGAATCACATAATACAGCAGACCTAACTAGGAACTCTCTTCTTCTTCCCCACAGAAACCACTAGGGTTTCCCTTGGCTCCTGCTCCCGTCCCTCCTCTCTGCTTCCATCACAGCAATGCCTGCCCGCAGACCAGGCTGCAGTGGTGGGAGAATGGGTCTGGTATGCATAACCAGTCACCATGGGAACCATAAACCTATTTTTACAAATCCCATTCCTGACCTTAGGAGAGAGGGAACAGTATAAAGAAAAAAGGTATTGAAAATACCCCTGCTGCTTCTCCTTTCTTACCCCAAATGGCTTAACCTCCCACATATGTATCACCCCATCCCTAAAATATTCTTCTCACTATCATATGCAAGGAAAGAAAATTGGGGAAAAGGTTAAACCATGACCTTTCCTCTAAACCAGTGGTTCTCAACCTGTGCATTGCGACCCCTTTGGCGACCCTTTCACAGGGGTCGCCTAAGACCATCCTGCATATCAGATATTTACATTACGATTCATAACAGTAGCAACATTACAGTTATGAAGTAGCAACGAAAATAATTTTATGGTTGGGTCACAACATGAGGAACTGTATTTAAAGGGCCAGAAGGTTGAGAACCACTGCTCTAAACAGTTTCCAGTTCTTCTTTATCTGACCTAAACCCCCATTCTCTTTACCTCCTCCTACATAACATCTGCAACACATTGCAGTTCTCAATTACCATCTGGCTGGCTCTGAAGGACCTAAACAGGGGTCCCAAACTTAAAAGCCCTGGCCCTGAGGAGACAGCATAAATGAGCACAGACTTCCAGGTGCAAACAAATGGAATCGGTGTAATAGCACATCCCTGCCTGAAAGGCCTCTCAGTTCTTCAAGAGAAGCTGGAAACCCAGATTTTTATGTGCAACCTCTTCATTTTCAGTCAACTACAAAAAACCTTATAAGACTTCTGGAGATCAAATAAAAGTTGCCTCAGTTGAGTGAACTGAGTAAGGCCCCCAAACCCATTTGTGAACTTGAGGATCCCTAGAGACTTAAGAACACAGCTTCCCTTACCATTGTGTTCTATGCCTCCTTTTCTGAACCCCCACTACCAATCCCAGGCCAAGATCAGAAAAGGAGCCCCTGGCTCCCGTGGGGGGGAAGGGGGGGGCAGGCAGAAAGTGGGAAGTTCCTGTTTCACTGCCAGCTTTACTAGGTTAGGTAAAAGTTGTGCTTCTGACATTCCAAAAGGTGGAGCTGAAAGTGCCCCTTCTCTCAGAAACATTGTTACACACAGTGCTGAGGTTCCATACTTCTGTTCTTCAGGTATAAGTTAAAAGGGTTTTTGTTGGGTAGTTTGGGAAAGTTATGTATCACATATAATAATGTATCTATAGGAAAACTGCATTTAGACCCCCAAATAAATACATGTAGAAATAAACCTTTGGAACACTATCATTTGTAAAATGATAAGACTTATTGGTCACAGGGCACTGAACAGCATAAATGTTTGAAGAAATTTGAATATAGTCTTTAATATTCAAAATTAAGTTTTATCGATCAGTCTATATGTAATATGCTGGTATACATTTTGTCTCATGACACAAAAGGGTGCTACACTGATACCAACCAAAGCTAAAACTTTAAAGCTTCCTTATCCCTACCACTTGCCCTGTATCTCCTCCCCAGTCTTCCCATATGATGCTATGAGAACTACAAGACTGCAAAGAGAGAGTCCCAGAAATATGGCACAATAATACAAAAGCACACTAGTGGGCACAAAAAAGTATTAAGATTTGCTTCTTCAGCCTAGCCGGTGTGGCTCAGTGGTTGTCAACCTATGAACCAGGAGATCAGGGTTCAATTCCCAGTCAAGGCACAAGCCTGGGTTGCAGGCTTGATCCCCGGTAGGGGGTGTGCAGCAGGTAGCCGACAGATATTCCTCTCTCATCGCTGTTTCTATTTCTCTCTCCCTCTCTCTTCCTCTCTGAAATCAATTAAAAAAAAAAAGATTTGTTTCTACATAGGTTAGTGTGCCACATCACTGAGAAAACAAACAAACAAATGTATTTAGATTATTTTCTGGAAGAGGAATTAATTTGACTGTTAGAATTCAGAACTAATTTAATTTTTTAAAGGCATAAAAGGGCGGCAGAAGCATCACTCTCAAACCATAACAAGAGATTTGAAACTAAGTTTTATAATTTTTAAAAATGCAGAAAATTTCCATGTCTAGTAAAATTTTAATAAGTATAATGATAATAAAGCAAAATTATATCAAAATAACAACAACAACAAATCCCCTAAAAAGCCAAGAGAATACAAAACTAGCAAGGGTCAAAAAATGTCAAAATTCCCTTCTGCTAAGTTAAAGTCTCCAACTGGTTTCCTTCTGAAATATATTTTATGAACCTACCACAATGAATGCATAAAGCACACAAAGAGATATAAGCACCCAACAGCCTGGGGTCACAATACCAAAATATTTTGAGGTGTTGCTTTTGTTTGAAGTCTCCCCTTAATCACAGTTGGTTTCCTACGCTCCTCAAATCAATAAACAGTAACTCTTTTGTTTATATCATAAAAGCAGGGTTTATATAAGCAAACCCATCCCTTGAAATTTTAAAGCCAGATTAATGACTTTTGGAAAAACTATTAATTAAAAGTGATTTTGCTTATGTATCTAGTTTTTCACTCTCTGTTCCTCCAAAACTTGAAGACTGAACTTTTCAGCAGTTTTGACTGTTTACTCTTATTTGGATTATAATCTTCTCTTTGCAAGAAACAGAAGAACAGGGTAAGCAGAAGACAATGTAAAATAGAATAGATAATAAACATATCTGAACTAAATTACCTTTCATAAACTTAAGCCCAATTAGTATGAAATAATTTAAAAGTCAAAACATGTGAGTTCTCTAGGCATAGCATTAAGCTATGTAATATTTGTAAGCACTATTGAAGCAATTGTAAAACTTCCAGGGGCAAGGAGAGAGAAGTAAATGGTTGATTTGTGTATTTTATGCAAGTACAGAGGCTCAGATTTGATGATTTGTACTGAAGTTAGAATTTTCATATTATAATATTCTTAGAAAAAGCACTAAAAGAGCAAAATGTTAACTTTAAATGACATGAAATTATTTCCCTCCTTCCTTTCTACTTTTCTGATATTTCTGAGTCTTACAAAATAGTAGTACATTCATTTATGTTAGATACTATAAATTCAATGTGCTGCAAGAAAAGCAAGTCCTCAGATCTATATTTTTATGTATTTTGAAGTTAATAAAGAAATTTTATGTTGTATACCTGAAACAAATGTAATATTTAATGCAAAAAAAGAAAAAAAGACACTTATGAAATTTATAGATTTGTTCTTAAGCAAAAAAACCAGTAATTTCACCTGTTCCCTTCCGTGCAAGTTCCATCCCCCACTGAGGCTTTGTGACAGGTGTGCCATCACCCCCTGGTGAATGCTGGGGCATTAAAGCCCGCGAGCTAGCTGGCCGATATTTAGAGAGCCCTGAAATGCCAAAGGAGAAGGAGAAGATGAATATATTCCTTTGTATCCCCAAAGAAAGAAAGAAAGAAAAAAGCATGGCAGGTTTCTATAAGCTAGCCTTTAAACCAGGAGCAATTTAAAAGAAGACTCAAAAAATAAAAATAATACATTTTTGCCCTGCTGGTGTGGCTCAGTGGCTGGGCATTGACCCATGAACCAAGAATTCAAGATTTGATTCCTGGTCAGGGCACATGTCTAGACTGCAGACTCGATCCCCAATCTAGAGCGTGCAGGAGGCAGCCAATCAATGATTCCCTCTCATCACTGTGCTTCTATCTCTCTCTCCCTCTCCCTTCCTCTCTGAAATCAATAAAAATATATTAAAGATATATGTATATTTTTAAGTAAAAATAAATAAATAACAAATCTAGAAGTATAAGCATGCCAAATATTAAAAAAAATAAAATGGAAAAAGAAGACTTTTTGTATTTATTCTTTTACTCATGTGTTTAAATCTGATACAATCTAATACTTCATTTTATACTGGCTACTTTCAAGCTTTACAGTTGTTCACTTGAAGATAAAGCAACACACCCTGGAACAGTGGTACCTTGTGAACTCTCTCGATTGGCTCAGTAACTGCAATACACTAATCTTACCTGGAGTAGACGGCCTTTCAAGCATGTTCAAATGATGAGAAATGAATGCCTGGCTGTCATGAACAGTATCCATATCAATCTCCTCTTCGTCTTGAGAACTTGAAAACTAAAACACACACATGGAACCAAAGAGAAAAAGGGCCATTATATCACTTTATGTTTGGATCTTAGCTCTTAGGAAAAGTAGCAGAGAGGTCACAGGATATACCCCCAAATAATCTTAAAAGGAAAAGTAGGCTCTTTTTCTCAAAAAGTATAAGAGAGAGAAATGATTATGTGGTCCAGCCTCCAAAAGGAGCTGAATGGAAATTACTGGAAATTTAACAGCAACTAAAATCTATTCCTATGTCATGGGAGAGTAGTGAGCTGAGGTAGATCGTGCACACATAGTTCCTCCCCAAAGAGAGAAGAAGTATGTGACGACAGAAATTAAATAATCAGTTGGAATGTTTTAGAGATGGACATTTGAGTTCTTTTATAATTCAGTCTGTCCCATCTGTTCCTAAGGAAAAACCAAGTATTCATAAAGATTTATAAGAAGGTGAATATCCTACACTGTTAATACAGGTTTAACCTGTATTTCTTACTCTGATTTTGAGTTTGACTTTACTGCTATCCTCATTCTTCTCCAGTATTTGACCAGGTTCTAGTGGGGACCCCAGTGGTGTATCAGACTTCCTCTTCACTCCCTGCTGATGAGCTGATATATTACATGATGCTTCCTTGGCAAGATGATCAACTTCCTGCGGCAATATTTAAGATCAAAATTAGTTTCTGAAGACAAGTAGCTCATATTATAGCTGAAAACTAATAGCTATTGCAACCATGCAGATTAGAGCATGCCCAGTGCCTGTAAGTTATCAGCAATGGGCTTAAAATAAATTTCATCTTTTCTTGTCTGCTAGTATTTTGGGGGAAGAAAGAAGTTATTTAAGTGAACTTTCAGAGTTTTCCCAAAAGAATATATCTTTTGGTGTCATTTTCTCCTCTTATCCTACAGAGTCAAAGTATGAATGTGGACAAATTAACATATATGTGCAAGAATTATAAACATATTCATTTCCATAGATTTATAACTATTCAGATCTGAAAGAGCTCTTTAATGAGACTTAGCCCTATGTCTTACTTTTTCATAACCCAAACTCTAGGATATATTTTAAATTTACAATAAGTAAAATTGTATTTAAGAAAATCTCGGTGATAAGTAATTTGAAATGACTAGTTCTAACTGGCATAGACAGAATCTGAACGTTAAAGTGCCAAAACACCAGTAGGGAATTGCTAGGCAAGTAATCTGGTCTAAATATTGGTGAAAAATGAAGCTTGAAGTATTGGGAACATTTTGTCATCAATAAGAAAATCATTTCTGAAAAATGTCCTTTAAATTATAGTAAAATGGTTGATATGTATCCTAAAGGTCTTTCTACAAAATTCTGGTAATTTTATAATACATAGCTAGAAATAAAACTTTTCAAAAGGCAAGCATAATAAATATAAAATTTTAAAATGTAATGCATAATCTCCTCCCAAATCAGATTACTCATTTACGTGATCATTTATTATCTTTCTACTTATTTAATTCAAGAAGCTTTTCATTTGCCAGGCACTCATTATGTTTAGAACTATGCTAGGTATTAGACAGAGTAGGGAGAAAAAGTCAGGGCCCCTTGTGTTCAGTGTTCCATTACCATATATGGACAAGAAGGTTAACATATAACAGGCTAAATATTCATGTCAATTTTCTACTACTCAACGAAGAAATTCTATGCTCAATATAAACAATCATTATGTCATCATAAAAGGAGTAAAGGGACTGGCAGCACTATGTAGTTGTCAGTAGCACTTTGTAAACTACACAGTGCTAAATGAATGCCAGCAGTTTCTCAAAAGGTACAAAAAAAACTGTCTGAGGCTTTAAAACTTGCCAGTTCAAAAGAAACAATTCTCTTCTCTAGAGAGCTCAATATAATAAAATTACATCTGTAACACATGCAATTCTTACAGGGTTCTGAAATCCAACTAGCTGTACGTGGCTACTTGGATTAATTGCAGTTTCTTGGTTGCCTGTGATGACCTCTGGAATTATGGTTGGATTCAAGACAGCTTTTTTCTCTTTTAGATTAAGAACCAACCCAAGCTCTGGCAAGGGTAAGCAGGAAGGTCTACTGAGGCCAAAAAGTGTGAAGTATAAGTCCACAGCACCACACCGTAGCCTCCAGTCATGTGAAGTACCTAAAAAGTAAATAAAGAAATGAAAATATACACATTTAACTGTACATTTTTATCTGTTCCTCTCCCTTCGCAGAGGGATGAAAGGATTATCCCTCTTAAGAACTTATGCTTAAAAAGAGCCATCCCTTGACCTAGGCCCCACTGGCAAACCCTCTACCCTAAAGATGCATCTTATCCTAACACGGATACTTATAAATTGTTACAGGAACAATCAATGTTTGTGAATGAACGAGTGAATGTTATAACTGGAAAAATGTTTTTATCGTCACACCATTCTTCTTTACAAAATGAATTTTTAAAAAGTATTGTTTTCTGCCTTTAAATTTTCTTCCACATTCGTTCATTCTCTGTTCATCTTGTCTGATTTTCTTCTTTAATAATCTGTTAGAAAGACAGTGCTCCATGAGCCTTCATGAACCCTAGCATTTGAAACATATTCTCCTAACTCTCAAATTTATTATGTTCAGGTTTTAAATATAAGAAACCCTACAACTACTTGAAATAACATAATTCTAAAATTGGACTTATTGTAGAGGAGGAAAATATTTTGCTAAACACCTTTATATTAGTGTTGCTATACTAGGTGTTTGTTTTTAAAAAAATGAATAATAGCAATAATAACAACAATACTACGCAAACTCCAGAGATGGCTACAGATAGTACAACCTGTATGGAGGAGAAGACTGCTTGTGTAGAAATTTAGCTTAAAGTAGTGGAGAGACTAGAGGCAAGTAAGTTCTCTCAATTCCTCCAAAACGGGGGTTTGATCTCAGATTGGCCCAAATCAATGACAGGCCAGATACCAGAGTTCTTTCTCACTTTCCTTTTTTTCCCCCCAGTAGAGCACTCCAGGTAGGTACTGCCATCAAATAGAACTGACTGACAAAGATAAAAATTGCACCTTAGGGTTAGGTAATTTACATGGTTTCCAGGCCAAATTTAAAATGATCGAGAGAATTTAAAACAAGTGAGAAGAAGCAATATATAAATTCTTCTAGATAAGAAAATAAACCTTATAAATATTAAAATTAGACTGTGGTTTCAAAAGAGTAGCATAGTATTTAAAAAAGAAAGAAGCATTTACAGCAAATTTTGGACAGCATAAATATTAAGCTTTGTGATTCTCAAGAACAAATATTAGAATAAGAAAATAAATTATAATCGACTAGTGATTCTGATGAGATTTATTCTAGTAGATAAGTAAATATTTTATTAACTAGAAGCCCGTTGCATGAAGACTCATGCAATAGGCCTTCCTTCCCCTGGCTGCCAGCACCCGTTTTCCTCCAGCACCCGGGACCCAGGCCTTTGGTCCGGCCGCAGCAGAGGCTTGGCTACTCCCCTCCAGCCACAGCGAGAAGCCAAGCCTCTTCAGCCTTCAGTCTTAACTCCGATAAGGTTTTTATGCCCTAAAAACTATAAAATAAAAACCCCAAAAAACATAGAAATGGGAAGAACAATACAAAATGAAAGAATTTACACTGGAAATCCATTCCCTTCTCTGGAATATGCATATCTGGACACCTTACTGCACTGGCATTGCTTCATTTTTGTAGGCCTTCATTATTCTTCTCCTCAAAGCATCAGAATCCTGAGCCTTTCACAGAGAATGGAGGGGCTCAACCTCTAAGACAGTGGTTCTCAACCTTCCTAATGCCCACAGCCCTTTAATACAGTTGTGGTGACCCCCAATTTCACTGTTACAAATTGAACATAATTAAAGCATAGTGATGAATCACAAAAACAATATGTAATTATATATGTGTTTCCCGATGGTCTTAGTCGACCCCTGTGAAAGGGTCGTTTGACCCCCAAAGGGGTTGCGACCCACAGGTTGAGAACCGCTGCTCTAAAAGAAGGAGGGGTCCTTACAGAGCAGCAAGCCCTGTGTCTATATATTCGTGAGTGTAGCAAGAAAAGGAGTAAATCTTAGGCACTGTATCAGTTAGAAAAACAAGAATGGTTTAGGGTACATTTGTACTGGAAGAAAACCCTGAAGAACAATATCACCTTATTATTTATCTCTGCTGCCATCCTGACCATTTTGTTACAGATGTCATTGAAACCAGTTGAACAACTGAATTATTTTAATTTAAAAAACTACTATTTTAATTTTTAAAAGCAAATGGAAATGTGTTTTCATAAGCTAGAATGTTCAGTTTTGTGTTTTAAAGTCAGATTAAGGAGAATTAGTCAGCATAGTGAAAGCTGCTAAATTTCACTAAACCACTACACTACAGCTTTTTACTTTTTTTTTTATATGATTCTCCTCTTTCTTTCTTTTTTTTTTTTTTTGAGAGGAAGGGAGGGAGATAGGCAGGAGCATCGATGAGAGAGAGAAACATCGATCTGCCTCCGTCTCCTACTGGGGATCAAGCCCACAACCTGGGAATGTGCCCTGATCGGGAATCGAACTAGTAATCTCTTAGTTCATAGGTCGAAGCTCAACCACTGAGCCACATTGGCTGGGCTACGGTTTTTACTTTTTATTTCTATATGGGCTTTTTGGTTTGGGTTTACCTTTAGTTTGGATGGAGGAACGAACATTACTGTTTTGTTTCTGAGGGAGTTCCTGATGGTGTGTTTTCCTTCAACTAATTGATTTATAAATATTAAAATTTAAGGCTATAAGAGAGCTAAAAAATAGAATAGTGGTGCTTCTGTTAAAATTACAAAAAAAAAAAAAAGATAAAAAATCAGAACTGCCCTGTATTTCAAAACCATGGAATAAAATCTTAAAATGGTTGTCATTATAGTGGAATTTAAGTTGAACAGCATAGTGGGAAAAATCACTTCTGCTTAATTCCAGTTAGCTGTGTGATCTTGGGCAAGTCAATTGCCTGGCCCCTAAATGAGAGCAGTTAACTTAGCTGGTCGTTAGATCCTCCAAGATCTAAACTGCTAGGATTCCAAATCAATCAATTCCACTAGACCAGTGGTCGGCAAACTGCAGCTCGGGAGCCACATGCAGCTCTTTGGCCCCTTGAGTGTGGCTCTTCCTAAGCCTTAGGAGTACCCTAATTAAGTTAATAACAATGTACCTACCTATATAGTTTAAGTTTAAAAAATTTGGCTCTCAAAATAAATTTCAGTCGTTGTACTGTTGATATTTGGCTCTGTTGACTAGTGAGTTTGCCAACCACTGCGCTAGACAGAGGCCCTGGAATAGCTGCCAATGTCTGTGACAGCATTTTGAAGACCCTCTCACCCCAATCACTGACATGGCAAGGGATGCTCATCTATAAATATAAAAGGCTAATATGCAAATTGTCCACTTGGGAGTTTGGCCAAGAGAGCGGGAGTTCGATCGCTCGCTATGACATGCACTGACCACCAAGGGGCAGCGTGGAACATAGCAGGCTACCTGCAGCGATGGCAGGGCACTGAGGGAGCGAGGGGAGGGAGAGGTGGGGAGGCCAGGCCTAGGGACCCTACTCTATATGAATTTTGTGCACAGGCCTCTAGTATATTGATAAAACAGTCATCACTTTCTTAATGCATCAATTCTGTCTTCATTGGCAGTGAAACTTAGGGACCAACCCTGCTTACCTGGAATACAACAGCACTCAAGAAGAAAGGAGGAAACCCAGCATTGATGTTCTCTATTCAAATCAGAAAGAATATGAAGACAAACCACTAAGTAGCAAATCCAGTCCTAAAAAAGATCATCTCTTCATTTTCTGAAGTAATTGCTATTAAAGCTGATCAAGTCAAAAAGCTGCTAAGAAGAACGTTCACTTTGAAAGTCACTTTTTCAAGACATTTTTCAATAATGTCCTTATAGACAGAAGCTTGAAAATGTGTACTAAGTGGAACCAAAGGGCAGTTCTGTACTATCTTTCTGTCCATCTTACACTAAGTAAAAAACAGCAAATTTCACTTTTATTTGTATGTGTATACATATGTAATTTCCAAAGAATAAAGGGAAAAGACTTATTTTCAACCCTTTGTAACCTTATGAAATAAAAACAACAATAATACTTTGCAGGTTAATATTTAAAGCTCTTTAAACATCTGAGACACTTTCACATAAATTAATATTTTTGTTTCTTCAATTACCCTTTGGGGCAAAGTGAGTAAATATATCCTTAGCAAACCTTATCACATCCACCACTGTGAAGGTAGATGTGTTAAGTAACCTACTTAAAAAAAAAAAGAAAAGAAAAAAGTATTGAAAACCTGTTATAAAATGAAAATAATCCAGTCATAATTTTGTTTTTTTGAAAGCTACTATTTTCTTACCCGAATTCATAAGTTTCCAAAGTTGATCTACTAGGGCTTCATTGCATAAGGGAGACTCCATGTTCTTAGTAAATGGTGGGTTCTTAGTCAACATGTGTAGAATCTTATGTCTGGAGGAAAAAAAAAATTTTTTTTGCCTATCATTAAATTAAAAAATTTGAAAATTACCTGCAGTTCCTTCATCCTATTTTATCATCTCCCTTCTTTAGATCTAGCTTTGTGCCTGAGTTTCATTTCAAAAGGTGTATATTACTATATACCTTTTATACTGTTTTTTGTTTTTTCCCCCGCTAAATTCTGGTGGGTTTTCTTTCTAAAATTGCCTTGCTGTACAATGAGATCTTCTAAAACCTGACTCTGTGTATTCTTAACCAATCATTCCCTGCCTGCTTCTAAAATGAATGTATTACTCTCCTTAGAAAAGTTTTAAGAAAAAAACTGATCAGAAAATATAAAAATCTTAAAATGGGACAAAAAAAAATCACATATAGGCCAAGAAGTCTACATTTGAGATAATACAAATGAATATAAACTTTGTTAATATAGTTTCTTTGTCAAGCATGGAAATGTGCAGAAGCATTTCAAATATGGAGATTGCAAAACGTTTCCTCAAAATAAGCTGAGATTTAGAAGAGACAGTTATAATAGCAAAGATCCATACAGATGGCAACAGTTATACTCTGCTATTGGGAGTTTTTACCTGAACATATGGAGTCTTCTGAAAAACACCATAAAAAGAGGATAGAGAAAGAAAAGAAGCAAGGAGGCTTTGACAGTAATTTAACATTTAGTGAAGGGATAAAAGCCAGGCCTATGACAAGGTCTGAGAAATTCAAACCTCAGAGTAACGGCATGCTTGGATATAATGAAGGAAAAAAGAAACTGAGGTTATATTTTTTTATTGATGCTAGCAAAACTTTAAAAAAGGTGGTGAACCTGGGAAATTTTTATATTTAATTGTTGGTGGAAAGATATCAAATCAGATTAGTACTTGAGAAAGAGATGGGAGAAAAATGGACTAGTAGGTTGTAGTTAAGTCACTTAATCCCTTTCGGATTCAATTTTATATCTGTAAAACCGAAATATGTGGACTCTCACTGTTAACATCCTTTTGTGCTTTGAAATTTTAAGACCATATGAAAGACTACTGAAAGGCTATGAGAACAAATAAAACTTTATGGTATTTACGCAGATCAGTGCACTCTTTAAAGCCATGCCAAAGAACTGTAAAGGGTACTCTGGGGATAACTTTGAAATTATTACTCAAAGAGCAGTAATGATTAATATATGCATTACTTTTAACAATTAAACGTTTCTTTAAATACTCAAAAGGAGATAAAATTTAAGGAAAGACAATGAGAATCTTATGTTTAATTTTTGCAGAGATTAAATATCAAAACTCACCATATGTTTCAGACATCTGGAACAAACCAGAAGCAAATCCTAAGAAAGTCATGGGTTTATGTCATATTGACAGCAGCCAAAACATCTTATTATTTCCCTAGACAATTGAACAGTTTTTTGGTGGGCTAGTCAAATACCATTGTCAATCACTATCTATAGAAATGGAGTCAAACCAAAACCAAAAAAATATTCAAAAACTCCCATGAAAAAAAGCATAGGATGTACGTCCCTTGAATTGATACACTGTGATCATATGCATGCTTGATTCCAAAATGAGAAGATAATTCCATGTCATTTTTAAAAATAGCCTACTTAACCTACTGCAATACAACTAATAGATACTATGTTATTTGTCAATTATACCTCAATAGAGAAAGAAAAAAAGAAAAAGAAAAGATGGAACAAAGAAAACAAGACTTGAGTTCCTATTGAAAGTATAAAATGCAGAGAAATAAAAATAGAGATAGATGTCCCAACACACAAAAAAGTACACATAAAGTAACTGCTGTGTTAACACTTATTGCCATTAAATTAAATATTTTTAAAGATGTGTTGAGTTTTTTAATTGATTTTAGAGAGAGGGGAAGGAAGAGGGGTAGGGAAATAGAAACATTGATGACAGAGAAACATTGATCACCTGCCTCCTGCAAGCCCTCTACTGGGGACCGAGCAACCCTGGCACATGCCCCGACTGGGAATCAAACTGGCAACCTCTTGGTTCATGGGCCGAAGCTCAACCACTGAGCAACCCTGGCTGGGCAACATGTTGAATTTTTTAAACTATGAGTAAACTATGGGTTAGATGATTTTAAGTAAAGCCTATTGGTGCTCTAAGTGAACCACATGAATTAAAAAGAAAACATGTCAAGAATAATCATGAGACAGATAAGGAAAAGCTAAAGGAGTTCATCACTACCAAACCAGTATTCTATGAAATGCTGAAAGGTATCCTTTAAGAAGAGGAAGAAGAAGAAAAAGGTAAAGATACAAATTATAAACAACAAATACACATCTATCAACAGCTGAATCTAAAAATCAAGTGAATAAATAAAAAAAAAATAATCATGAAATATATCCTTACAGAGATTTTCATCTCAGATTATAAATATTAGAGCTCTTGAAATTTGAATGATATTAACAGTTCTACAACAGTATTTCAAAAGCAATTATTTAGACTGTACAGCATATAATTCAGAAATATAAAAATTTCAAATATTACAGAATTCAAAACCTGCTTAAAATGGTTTTCAAATCACAATTCTAAGATCTCAGAAATATGAATCTTTTTTAAAAAAATATTTTTATTTATTTCAGAGAGGAATGGAGAGGGAGAGAGAGATAGAAACATCAATGATGAGAATCATTGATCGGCTGCCTCCTGCACGCCCTCTCCTGGGGATCAAACCAGCAACCCAGGCATGTGCCCTTGACTGGAATCAAACCTAGAACCTTTTAGTCCGCAGGCTGATACTCTATCCACTGAGCAAACCGGCTAGGGCAGAAATATGCATCTTAATGTTAGTTCTATTGAGGTGTATTGAAAACAAATGAATACATGGTAAGTTTCATTTATTCTGTATTTATACTTTCTGTTCCTACTTGCTATCAGTAGGATATAAACTTTCAAATGCATGAGCTCTGCCAGATAAGAGATATAGGCAGGTCTTTTGCGTATCATATTTTATATAAATGCGTATTTTAGAATGAATGATTATAAGTCCATGTAACCTTTATCCTTATTATATAACAATCACAAGACAAATTATTTAAAATACAATTTAGATCACAAATGAAGAACTATAAAATATTAACAGCAAAACTTTGTATAAAGAAGATTTATGTAATGAGCATCATTTAAGACACTTAAATATAAGGTGACTTATGTGAATTCCTCATGCCCAGATACATTTCAGTGAGGTTAGAAGGCAGAGTTTGACTTTTTAGAAGAAAATAACTACCTGCCAACTGGTGTGTAAAGTTGAGTCACACAATTAATATCTAGCTCTATGTTCTTGTTTCCAGTTGGAATGGCTACAACCTAAGTGACTTTCCAGCTGCCAAAATTTATTTTATGAAATCATGTTAAAATGAATAAAATTTTAAGTGTTTAATACGTGCAAAGAAAGACAAAAATGATTTAAAAAATCCTATTTGATTAAACCATAAACATCCTACTTTGCAAAAGAAAGCAGAAAAGAAGATTAGAAGGAAATACAAAAACACACATAATCACGCCTACTTAAGAAAAATTAAGATTTTATATGAGATAGAAAAGAACAAATGGAATATACCAAAACATTGCTCTTAATTATTTTTAAAGTAAGTTCAGCCAATCAGTAGAGGTTTCATAATTTTGGGTACATAAGGGATCCTCTAGATGCACTACAAAAGCTTTCCTTTAAGTTACAATAGAAATCATATGTAAAGTTACAGAAAATAAGTTTTATTTATTAACAACGTATTTTTAAACGTCTTCTCAAAGCCACAACAAATTAATAAATTTAGAAAGGGTGTGATAAAAGCCTAACATATTCCTATGTTTTCAAAAATAACAAAGACTTTTGCATGTATAATCTTCTGAAATTATTCAATTTACTTTAGGACTTTAAAAAATAATTATAGCACAAAAACTAACCTTACATAGGGTACAGGGTCATTCTGAATCATATTAAGGAGCCACTGCAGTTCTTCATAACTCCTGTCCACTGAAAATAAAAATAAAGAAATATATTTGTTGCAATTATAACCAATTAAACAAGTGACAGGCAAGGAGTTCACACTTAGTATTAGGACTCTTCCTTGGCTGGATTTAAATCAGAGTTGAAAGCTGCAGACAACTTCTTTACATTTTTTCCCCATGTAATAGACCACTTCGTAAATTTTATAAATATTGTGCTCTATGCAGCCAAAACATAAAACAGGACCAAGTGTATATTTTTCACTATAGCTCAAATCAATGGCAAATACAACATAAAGCAAATTATAATTTATTGAGCCCTAAATTAGCCCTAAATTATAATTTAGTGAGCCCTAAACTCTAAATGGACAGAATGTACTTAAATAAAATTATGTTTCTAGAAGCATAAATCAAATTATAGAGAAGTCTGATACTCAATGGTATCTCAACTATATTATTTTTTTTAAATAGTGAACTGTTTTTGCCCAAGTGGTTTCTTTCATCTAAGACTAAAGAGCAGCCTTAACTTTTCAACAGAACATAAAAAGCAATTACAAAAAAAGTGCTGTAACTATATTAACCAATAAAATGACTCATTAGCTATTCCCATTCACCTTTCAACAAGTTTTGCTATTATGACTTGAAAAGCTTTATTTTAATAATTTTATTTCTAATAGTTTCCATTTTCAAATGATCTTCAATTCATGGATCACATTTAGACACCTCTCAATAGCTTAGTTCAATTTCACTGACACCCTATCACAATATTCTATTACTTCTTGGATTATTTCTTTTCTGCCACCTGCTCTTTCTTCATGACTTACATTTCATTTCTTTATATTTCTCCTCTGTATTTCTGAAAATGTTTTGACTCTGTAGTTTTCTCTTAATTATTTTTGGCCTTATTTTCCCCCAACTTTATAAGCCTTGCTTAATCCCTGTACTGAAGCTCCTGATGATGTCTCTTGCTCTACTTTCAGATACAAATCTGAGATAGGAGCATGATGTCTTCTTGAATCCTTATATAGTTAAAAATTTACAAAAAATCTCCCATTTCTTAAAATAACTCATAATTAAAACTATAAGAACGGTATACTGACTTCTTGGAAAGACCAAAGATATCTACTTATAATTTTGTTCTTTTCCCTCACTTACTAATTCTTATAAGAATTCTACATTGACCACAAAATCAGTGAATTAAGAATTTAAAGTTAAAATTGTATTTTACATAATAAGAAAACCGCAATATCTACAACTGATTTTAAATAGTGAACATTTCTTTCTAAAATGATATGAACAAATATTTCTAAAGCATTACCTTTAGTATAATCAACAACTGCTTCCAGAGCTGCGATCCTAATGTCCACAAAGTGAGCATATTCTGCGTAGGATTTAAAAAGAGTTGGATCGCTCGGAACATGACCATTCTTCTGAAGCACTCGTATGGCTCTCAAACAACTAGGAAAATAGTATTTACAGTGAAATTCTTTTGTTAAAGTAGTCTGAATCAAATTTGTTTGCTAGGCATTAGAAATTATCTGTAACAGTGAACTAAAAAAATTGCCCTGATTTGAATCCATCTTTTAATTACATAACATTAAGTTTTTGCAACAGTCATAACAATTTTAAACATCTAAATCCTATGAAAGGAAAATAAATTTTAAAACTTATTTGTAAATCCAATTTCAGGTATTAATATACTTATTATTTTCACCATAAGTTTTAGTAGTTATATAGTTTAATAAATAATAAATGTGAAAGGTTAAATTGTTCACAATTTTGAAACAGTGAATCAACTTTTTTTAGCAAAATCCTAAGGAAATAGAACTTTTTGATAATTATATACAAAAAAGTTGAAAAAAGCAAAAAGTCATCTTAAAAGAGTCTAATAGAAAAATGCTTATATTATATCCAATGAGATAAAATATTTTGCAGACATAAAAAATAATGCTTTTGAAGAATTCCTGATGACATGAGAAAGTATTTATGATATAAGCAGAATGCAAAAATTATATATACAATATATGTCCAATAATTAAACATTTATATTGTTACAAGAGGAAAAAAATTAGAAGGCTACTCTCCAAAACAGTATAGTAATAATTTATCTGTGGATGATAGAACCATATGATTTTAATCTTCTCCTTTATCTTTACTCTATTTCCCAGTTTTCTATAATGAAAATAAATTTGCTTGTAATTATAAAACAAGTAACTTTAAAGAATAAAGAAAATGTAAAGCCGAAACCGGTTTGGCTCAGTGGATAGAGCGTCGGACTGCGGACTGAAAGGTCCCAGGTTCGATTCCAGTCAAGGGCATGTACCTGGGTTGCGGGCACATCCCCAGTGGGAGATGTGCAGGAGGCGGCTGATCGATGCTTCTCTCTCATCGATGTTTCTGACTCTCTATCTCTCTCCCTTTCTCTCTGTGAAGAATCAATAAAATATATTTAAAAAAAAAAAAAAAGAAGAAAATGTAAAGAATCATCATACCCAACAGTGATGGTGTGTCTATAACTTGGAAGAAGTTTTTCCATATTCAAAAACCTGGTGATTTCTTCAAGAATGAGTCGCACATCTGGATTTAAATTATCTAAAGTTCGAACTTCATTATTCACACTGACTGCAGGTGTAACAGAGTTGGCAAGGGCATCAATCATTTCTGCACGATAATAGTTATCTGAAAACTAAGCCATGAAAATTATTATATAAAGATAAAATTCACGCTTCTATTAAAAAATTAATAAAATAAAATATTTACAACCTAAGACCATAATTTATCTAAAAACATAAATTGGTAAGTACTCAACTCTGTGTTTTGCATAGTCACACATAGAAAAAAAAAGTGAGATTCATTAACTAGTAATATAGTAGTTAACACAATAAATACTTACTATATGAAAGGCACTCTTATAGTAAACTAGCCAGATTTCTCTAAAAGGAAGACCAAAGTCCATAAATCCTGCTGGTAATACAGAGCTTAAAAACAGCTCCTAGTGCTTTTCTCTCACATATAAACATGTAACCAAAGATCACCAGATATTTCAGAAAAGTATCAACATCAAAAAGACCAGAACAGCCAAAACCGGTTTGGCTCAGTGGATAGAGCGTCGGCCTGCAAACTGAAGGGTCCCAGGTTCGATTCCGGTCAAGGGCATGTACCTGGGTTGCGGGCACATCCCCAGTAGGAGATGTGCAGGAGGCAGCTGATCGATGTTTCTCTCTCATCGATGTTTCTAACTCTCTATCTCTCTCCTTTCTCTCTGTAAAAAATCAATAAAATATATTAAAAAAAAAAAAAGACCAGAACAAACAAAGGGGAAAACGCAACTTGAAGGAAATAGAGTATTCAAGGGGAAAAAACATGCAGGTGGAAAAAAAAATCCTAAACTATCATTAATATTGTCTGAGAAATAACCAGAGATGCCTCCCAATAGTAAAACATTTTAAAAAGAAATATGCAGAGAATCAGGATCAAAATTAAACTGAAATATTAAGTTTTTTTTAAAAACTAAAGTTTTTGAGCAGAAGTAAAGTGAGAAAAAATAGGAAGGAAAGCATAAGGAAATTGGAGGGTTGGTGTAGAAGACATAGCACAGGAATAATAGGAGTTTCTAGCAAAAACAGAGAAAATGGAAGAGGAAACCATAAAAAAAGCTAATTCCTAAACCCATATCACAGTCAATTCTCAGAGAAACAATTTACTGAAAGGCAATCTGGGTGTGACTTGATTTAAACTCAGGAAATCAGATACTCTAGCCTGGGAATCTGAACATGGAGCAAGTGAGTTAATTCTACCACAAACTGCCAGGGATGGAAGAGGAATACCTACCCCCTTTTGACTTACATTGTGGAGGCAGAACCTCACATGGTTACACATGACAATAGAGTCCCTAAAGAGTCCTATGTTCAGATACTGAGCAGAAAAAAGAATATGGCACACAACAACAAACAAAGAGAACCAAGTGTACACTATGGGAAAAGTTTTGTTTTCAAACCACTTACAGATTGTTTTCTTCAAGTATTTTTATATTCATTGTTACCTCTGGGAACTCCTTTGCCCACAAAGCCCATTTTTTTAACCACTATTTCTGACTTAAGTGTTTAGGTCACAGAATGAACCCACAAATTAAAAATGAGGAGGGGGGTGTAGGTAAAGTAGGAAAACCAAAAGACTTTAAATTTATCCTTCAGACCCAGGAGATCGGTGTTTCCCTCTCATCGATGTTTCTAACTCTCTATACCTCTCCCTTCCTCTCTGTAAAAAAATCAATAAAATATATTTTTTAAAAATAATAAAAATAAATAAATTTATCCCTCAGACCACATCCAATTCTCACAGATACTAGAATCCTAATTGGACAAGCTAGATTATCTGGTAACAAGTAAGGTGAAACAACTTGAACCATCATGGCATCCAATAGCTTTTTGATAAATAAATGAATAAACACACATGATGGTTTTTAAAAAATCAAATTATCAATGAACAAATTATCCCAAAAGGGATCTGTTTTCTAGTAAAATAAAAAAGGAGCAAAAATAAAGTTGGGCTGTCAGACTTTACCAAAAAAAGTTTTCAATGCCTCTCCAAAATCTGAGGCACTGCTATCTCCACATTATAACAGGTATGAGGAACATTTAAAAACCAACTAATCTTGGTTTTCATCCACTGGTTATTATAACAAATCATATTTACATGCTTCTAATGCTAGAAATTTCAAGTACCAGGGAGTAAACAATGATTTCACAGTCTAAATATTTCTTTAAAAACAAAATATCACTGGATAGTTTTATAATAATCATTAAGATTTCTTACCTTATTTTTTCTGTTGTCATTGTACTTGATTAAGTCTAAAATAAACGTTAAGACTTCTTTGGGACAAAGGTTGTGAACATCTCTCAATAGCGCCATTGCAACTGGCATAGTCTACAAAAAATAATATTTTTAAGTATTATAACTCAATTCATTACTATAATTCATTGAATTCAGTGCATGTTAAAAAAGGGCTACTTTAGTGCAGACACAGGTTTCTGGATGGAGCCTAACCGCCCCATAAACTCCCAGCCCTTCCCACTAAGAACATGTGCCAAACATTCTAACAAAACAGCTGAGCAGGAAACCAAGGGAGCTGAGTAACTGGATGCACTCTCTAGCCCATATGCCTCTGTCTTCATTTGTCAGAGGAAATATACATCATGTAAATGATATATTCAGCTCTGGGTTTTACAGTCGAAAAGGTATGGGTTTTAACATTAGATAAACCATTGTTCAACTCCTACTCTACTGCCTACTAAGATGGGTTATTTTAGCGAATTGCTTACTAAAAAGCCTCACAACCACAACTATTTTCAGGATTAAATGAAATAGTGACTGAGGCATACAGTTCAATCAGTCTGAGAAGACATTGATTCTCCAATACCACCCCAACTCAACTTAAGGAAAAAAGGTAAATTATCTGAAATCCAGCCTAACATTCTCCTTCTCAAATTTTCACAGGCAACTTTTCTAAGAAGGTGGAAGCCTGGCTCACACAGTAAAAATAAATAAATCAATAATAAAATAAAATAACTGGATGCCACCGACTTCTCTGATCATACCACTATAGGCTTTCCCCAAACTGCCCTGAATCTGTTTTGCTGACGAAATTCACTGTAAATAATATATTATGACTTCCACTCTTAGCAGGTCTCTCAATGTTTCCAAGTAATCCTTTTACTTTTCCCTCTATCATATATAATGCTTAACATCTCCTTCAACAGCTATCATTTCACTTACTTTTAAAAAAATATTTTTTAAAGATATGTTTTTATTGATTTCAGAAACAGGCAGAGGGAGGGAGAGAGAGATAGAAACATCAATGATGAGAATCATTGATCGGCTACCTCCTGCACATCCCCTACTAGGGATTGAGCCAGGCAGGGAATTGAACCGTTACTCCTTAATTCATGGTTGGCAATCAACCACTGAACCACACCAGCCTGGCTCATTTCACTTACTTTTAATCTGCTTTCCACCTGCCTCAGAAAAGAGGGAGCTTCTTACCTTTTCTTAAATTAACCTCCCAACTGTGTCCCACACCTTAACACCTTCAGAATTCTCTCCATCTCTCTAATATTTACTGGCTCCCACTGAATACTTCATCCCTCTATCCAAAATAAACCAAACCCATAATGTCCGTTACTCAGGCCTGCTTTATCCTCAACATGTCTCCATTCTCATACTCTTCACCCCTAAACCAAGAAAGATTTTTCTATTTCAACTTCACTTTTCCTTCTAGTCCAATCTAGTTCATCTAATCTCTGCCTTCATTATTAAATTACTCAAAAAATTTTACAAATGATTTCCAAATTGCCCAAATGTTGACCACTCTGCCATCCTCACATTCCCCCCAAAACAGTGACTTCATCACATCCCCACTTTCTAAATTATCATTTATAAAAGACTTACTGTGTGATAAATATAATCTAAAACATTTTATATGCTTGATCTTAATTAATTCTAAAAACGGTACATTTTACAATTGAGTAGACTGAGGCTTAAAGGGTTAAGAAACTTGTCCATAGGCAAACTGTCAGCGAGTAACAGGGCTGGGACTGACGCTAGTGTGGTGTGCTGCTTGTCTCTTACTCAGATATACTGTCCACATCCTAGGGCTTACCCATTCCTCCATCCTCAATGTAACCAGCCCCAAATTCAAACTATCCATTTCTATGTATTTTAGTATTAATGTGGATTTTGAGTTACTTTCTACCGCTCATAAAATCAATGAGCAATCACTGAATTAAAATTTTGGAAAAAATTTTAGAAACAAAAAGAACAAAGGCAAAACCTTTTAGAATAAAGTAAACACATCTATTATTTGAATAGTCTCCAAGTTAAACTGAGATATACAGATAGTGGCATAAAACAATCATAGGAAATTTGGAAAGTAAACTGTACCTTTTGTAGAAAATAACTTTGAAAGCTCATAAAGTTGTTTGTTTTCACAATGTTTGGACAAGTTTTACAACAAAACATTCTAGTAAAGAGTGACTTCATGGCTGGTGGTCCTGTCCATGTGCTCACCATTGAATTTGCAATCTGCAAATAATCAGAAAACAAAGTAATTTCCATCACCACAGCAAACATATTTTTAAATAAATAAAACAGCTTTCCAAAAGTTAGCAATGCAATTGGATTAGTTTTTAATAACTTCAATTCTTAGAAATTTAATACATTTTAGCCTTCCATTATCATTTCTAAGAAAATACACAAACTTTCCCCCCAAATTCTTATGTACACAACAACCACTGATCCACACTGGCCAGGGCAGAGTTCTATTTTTTTTAATATTCAGTATTCAATCTTGTTTTCTTTCTACTGTATGTAATCTCACCTTTGCAAGGCAGAAGCAAGCTGACATTCTTACTCGGTAAAAACACTGCTCTTGTTCTAGAATGTCAGTGAGGGCAAGCCGCGATGCTGGTGTGGGGAACTTTTCCAAGGCCAAGATGGACTCTTGCTGTGCAACCACATCCCTCTCGAAGCGGAGCTGGTACTACCACATGAAATCCACTTGCTCAAATTCTACTTTCCTCAGGACTGACATATTGGGATCTATCCTTATCCACAGCAAAGGGGAATCAGCACTGAAAGAAAACACAACTTTCCTTTTTATTTACTTTTTAATTTTACATATTCATAAAATAGAAACAAAGCGTTTATTAATCAGATTCTCTTCTACATACAGTGTTCAAGTCTGCCTGGAGTTTAATGTATCCATTTTTTAAAAATCACATTGACAGCTTTCCCATTATGTTTAACTTTAACACAATATCTATCTATATCAATCTGTTTGAAAAGATCTCCAAGGATAGTAAGACAGTTAGCTGTCACAAAGAAATTCCATCTGAAATTATTAATTTGGGACTTTGATTTGTGATTACATAATGTAAAAAGGGGAATAAGAACACGTTTTTTCATTTCACTTCCTGTCGCCAAATAATTGACTCTGGCTTTAAGGGCTACCCCTTACTAGAAATCAATCTGTGACTAAGAAATGAATTATTTTACTAAGTTATTTGTTTAACTAACTTTTAGTATTTTATTTTTTTTAAATGCTAGACTCATAATCACCTTTTTCAAACAGTAAGTTATAAAGTCATAGTTTGGAAATTCATCCAATACCACTGATTGCTTACTATAGCCAAGGCATGTGATACGGATAATACCACCTGAGAACTCATTAAGGATGTAAACACTCAGAACCCACTAGCACAGCGCTCAGGCAAAAACTGCATTTCCAGAAGATCCCCAGAAGTGCTGACATGCATGTTATAGCTTGAGAAGCACTGGTCTCAAGGCCAGCAAGAGAGCAAGGAAGCTGCCTAAACCAAGATTGTGCCCACCTCACCACCACCCTGTATTTCCCCAGGCTAGATTTACTTTTCCCTCTTTCATTATTTTTTTAATTTTATTT